ACCTAAACCTAAACCTAAACCTAAACCTAAACCTAAACCTAACCCTTACTTTTATGTGAACCGGCTTGCTTTAATTTTATTTTAATTTCAATTTAATTTATTTTTAATTTTTTTCGTCGCGCTGCTGATGACGTCAGGTATGCGCTTTCGTCGAGCGCGGTTTTGTCTACCGCGGTTTTGACGGGTCACGGAGGACTTCACATGTATGGAGTATTTAACGTTCTGTGTCATATTTTTCTGGCTCAGTTTCCACTCCATTGCTTTCCCACTTGGGATGGGGGGGAATCACTTCCTTACAAAGGACTTAAGATACACCTTAAGCAGGAAAGAGAAATCATTGAAGGAGAACGATCAGATTGGTAGCTATACTAGCCCTCTTCTGTGATAAAAAGATTTAAAAATAGAGGACGAAAGAAACTGTTCAAAATTTTAGTGTAGCTTTTTCCCCTCCTCTGGACTGTTGAGGGCAACAAATTCGTATTGTGGATGAATGAATGTTTGACTCCAATGCAACAGAGGTTGTGGCTTGTGAAGATATTTGGCAGGAGGCTTTTAAATAATTGAAATCTTCTCCTTACAGGAACAGTATCAGAGGAACTCTGCTTCCTGACAGACCTCTCTACCAGATAGAAGCCTTTTTTTATATAAAAACAAAATATTTTTAATCAAAAAGAATTCATCGTTCTGAAATAAAGAAAATTATTCACTTTGTAACCCCCGGTGCATCTTGATTAATCAGGATGTTTTTCTCCTGACAGCTCCAAGGCATTTTGAAAGGATCTTACAGAATTATGTATTAAATATATAAAAACGTGCAAGAATGTTGTAAATATACGGCTTGACAGTGAAATAAAAGATTTTACTATATATGGAACTTGAGTGTAATTTGTACTGTGTCCCTAAATTAGGAACATTTCAACAGTTCATTTTAATTGCAACCCAAGAGCAATCGTAAAAAAATGAAATTGGATCATAAATGAGCTTAAACTTAAGTTAGGCTTTGGGAAATAGTTGGGACTTAGTATTGATTTCATATTGAGAGAGTCAGAATGGTATGTCTGTGTTCTCGTGAATGTCCTAGTCTGTAGAATAGAATTTAATGAATGCAAACACGAACTGATGAAGACCCCGATTCCTTGGAACAGTGTTTCTCAACCTTGGCCACTTGAAGATGTCTGGACTTCCAACTCCCAGAATTCCCCAGCCAGCGAATGCTGGCTTGGGAATTCTTGGAGTTTGGAGTCCAGACAACTTCAAGTGGCCCAGGGTGGGAAAAACTGTTCCCAGG